CTTTACTAGTAAAGGAGCTTCTTGTTGTAGCACTCAGTGTGCTAGCATTTAGCAAAAGTGAACAGAGATTACTAATTTATAGAAGTTATTAGCAACTGGAAGAATCAAAATTGACTGGATCTGTTGATATGCTTACAAGATTGATGTTACTAATCTTAAATTAATAATTGGATTTTGCTTGAGAATTACTTTGTAGATGCTTCTTTGACACCCTCTTGGAGAGTTGTTTGAAGTATCACTCAAAAATAGTTTGACTACTCCAAAATGTATTACTAGAGAAATCTTCTTTTCCAGATTATTTGACTTCTCTATGTAGTTAATTTATAAGACTATATATTCAGAACATACTCAGTAGTCCAACAAATGTGCAGTATGGACTTCTTGAATGAAGAAAATAGAGACCATTAATCTTTCCTTGATAACTAGAAAACCTATCTTTGTATGTGATGCAAAATCTACACAGAACACAATAAGCTAAAGATGCATCAATGCTGTAGATTTGTATGAATAAAGTACCTTCTCAAAAAAAAGATCTAAATGAAAAAGTAGAGACAAATGCAACAATTAGAGTTACCTGAGGAACTTGCCAAGATGTCCTGGCCAACTGTCTGAACCTCTACTGTCAAAACGTTTATCATCTCGGTCTTTCCTTTTCCTAGAGGATCTACCCCTTCCATTATTCCTGTCGTTATTCAATCTCACACGAACACACTTTGATTGGTCCTCTACTCCATCAATTGTATCGGTTACAAGGAATTTTAATCTTTCCTTGAAAAAGTTATGAATTGCCTGAAAAGTATTAACATATCAGATATAGGATACTTCCAAAAGGAACCATATGAAACCAAAAGAAACAACGAACGAGCACGTGATAAGGACTAACAGTCCGATGGGATTTATCTGAACTTGGTGAAAGGACGATGGATTCATCACTGACATCAGCCCCAGAATTAAGTTCATCAATAAAAGCTTTAAGCTTGTCAGCATCAGAATTGCCAGCGAGAGATCTGAAAGATTCTATCTCAGTCACATAACTTCTATTCAGTTGGTCAGATATATTCACGTCCTTGTTCTCTGAACACTGGAGAGAGAGATTGGCGCATATCATAAAGCAATTTTAAATGAACATCAAGGTCACTAAGAAGAAATTAAGGTCAACTTATCACCTCCTTTGGAGCCTCCAACGAAGTCAAATGAACAACATTTTCATCTAAGTCCACCTCATTTACAATGAAGTCGGAGTACCTAGAAACAAAACAAAACAACCACAAAGATGAACCCATTTTCCTAAAATAAGCAAGACAATTCCCCAAACCCAGCTGCAGCTTTCAAGAATGCCCAAACAATTTCAAATTAAACTGTTTGTACCTTTAATTATAGCACACTCATGGTGGAAATATAAACAAACCACAAAACAACAGTTGCTTGAATTATCAAGAACATGCATATAGATTTCAACATTGAAGATACTTCAAGTTTATGACTTCCTAAAATATTTTCTTTAGATGGTAATTGTCTTTGTATATGTACAGATCACACACTTTAATAGGACAAGAAAACACTAGACTCTTAACTTTCGAGTTACAGAAAATGCAATTCCTTCAACGGGTGGTACAACAAATCATTATTAGCCAAAAGATGAACTTTCAGGTCTAGGCACTCTCAATTAATATAAACCACATCTCTAAATGATTTCCAACGTTTTACACTTTTACTATAAACAGAGAAAAAACAGAATTCCTAACTTATCTTTCCTCTTTAAAGAATTCCCTTTACATGGGTATTACTCTATTTACCAATTCCAACTAATGATACACCCCATTTGACGACACATCCCAATGTAAATACATACTCATTATTTAGGCATTCTCAAGTGATATGAAACACATCTCTAAGTGATTTCCATCGATTTAATCAAAGACTTGGTATAAAAAAATTGAAATCAAGAATTGGGATATAAAGAAAGAACACATTCTGTAATCAAGAATGGAAAGAACACATTATGTAATCAAGAATTGGGCTATAAAAAAAGAACACAATATATAATCAAGAATTTGGATAAATAAATTGTAATCAAGAATTGGAATATAAAATTTGGAACGACTTCCCAACTTATCTTTCCTCTTCAAGAATTGGGATAAAATAGGTTTCCCAACTCATCTTTCCTCTTCAAGATTATCAAGAATTGGGTATCCCAACTTATCTTTAGTTCTTTACTATATAACCAATTGCAACTGCAAATACATAACCAAGAAACTGTCACAGAAAAAGAAAAAAAAAAGACCTTTGCTTGAGGATGCCACGAAAACCAGGGAGGTTGGAAATGTAGCAAGAGATACCCACATCAGATTCATCCATAGTTTTCATAGTAGCAGGCAAAAGGGTGTGTTCAAGGAATCTGCAGCAGTAGGGTTTAAGAAAGTTAGGGTGACCAACAACTTGCTGCAGGGTTTTTGTTAGTAGCAGATGATGACGCCTGAGTTTTGAACAAAGGGTTTTTAACATTAGTAGAGAAACCTAAGTACAAACACAACTTATATATAGACAGAGTAATTCGCTTCAGTAGTCGTTCCAAGTCTTCTAAAGTTCTAATTTAATAAGTAATAATAAAACGGACTCCTAATAAATAAATAAATAACTTAAGACCTCTAAATTAATATGGGACAAATAAAGTTTTAATTTAATAATAATAAAACGGACTCCTAATAAATAAATAAATAACATGAGACCACTAAATTAATATGGGACAAATAAAATGAAATAGAAGGAGTATAAATTATATAAGTATAAAACGGTTAATTTTATATTTATATGACTTTATATGATATTTGATTTTTGGTCTTTAATTTATATAGTATTAACTTATCAAAGTTATAGAAAGAGAAGTTGCAAGGGAATTTATGTGTTAATTTACAAATTTGATAGAATGTGAAATAAATAATAGTATTTAATCTAATAACAAAAATATTCTCACAATGTATTAACAAGTTCATCTCAAATGATTTTTGTAAATAGACTTACTTAAAGAATGAGATTCATAATTTTGAAAATAGAGAATGTCACTTGTTACAACAAATAAAAATGACCTTGTAGGGTTAGAAATTCTTATACTAAGATGCATATAACTTTGAATTTTTTTATAATTTTTAATGCATGTTGCATCTTTCGAGGTGCAACTTTAACTTTTTTTTTGTGTGGTGCTATTTTTAGTATTGTATTTTTTTTTATTATTTTATTGCCGTGAAGTTAGGATCAATTTTTTATTTGATATTTTTGATTAAATCATTTTTTTCATAATTTGGACATGATATACATATTTCTTTCGGAATTAAATAAGCGTTGATTAGAATATTAAATAACTAATGACACATTCTAGAGAACTCAATGTGTCTTTAAATTAATATTATTAGTTAAAATCTCGTATAACATCAAGTAACAATTCAAAAATTTGACATATTTTGATTGATAGTTATAAATCTAATATCAAAGTAATGATTCAATTATCCAATAGCATTGATTAGAACATGCAAAACAAACTTCAAATTACCTATTTTTGATAGAATTATGCGATTCGAATCGACCTAATCATCATGCAATACATATACAATCAATAAGATTATGTGATGGACACATCTCCATAACAAAATACGACTTATTAACAAATGATGTCAAAATATAATTCATAATAATATATGAATTAATCTACGAGGTTTATGAGATTTTTACGAATCACATAATATTTGTACAAGTAGAACACAAGCTAAGTAAATTTCAAAGGGAAAAAACCACAAGTGTCACCACTAAATAAATAATAATAAAAATAATAGAAAAGTTCATTATTTATTCTTCGATATATTGAAATCAATGATAAGGCTTATTCAAACATAAAATAAAATGTCAAAATTGATACAATTATTTCAAATCAAAATGAAATGTCATATAAGTGTATAATCTACACCAAACTTCATTAAAACATACTCTTGTGCCTTACTTTTATAATATAATTTAAAAATGCGTAGAATACATTTTTTGTTTTATCTATATCATACTTTTGATTGAAGATTATCTTAGAGATTTTGTCACTTATTATGCATATATAATGAACTTCAATTGATTAAAGTAACAATTATGTAACATGACATGAACGTGGAAAAATAACAATTACAATCATAATATTGTGATATTATATTATTTAAAACAAGCTATTAATATTATCTAAATTATTTGATATTTGATCATCCTCAGCATATAAAATTTGAAATCATGACATCATTGAAGTCAGTAAAACACATACGTGTGAATTTTTAATAACAAAATATTTTTTTGAAATAAAATATCTCTAAACAAAAGATTATAATCATATTTAATACATGAAATTTATCCGAAAACTAATTAAACAATAAAAACTTACATTGACATAATAAATTAGCATAATATTTTTCCACATACATACAACATTTTAAGAAGTGCTTTATGACTAGATAGCACAAACACATACATGTCGCAATATAGACACATTCAATAAGAAGAACATTTCATAAAGAAAAATTGTTTAAATAATTATTGTCAAACATTTAACATGCACGTTATTATTTATTTATTGTAAAATAATTTATGCATTATTTGTTTTTGTTTAACAATTTATGTATTACTTATTTTATACACAACAACCATCATAATATTAATTATGGTATAAATAATTCATGAATTACAAACCTTATATAACTAATTCATCCATCAAACATCTCTTTAAATGTCCTTTTGGTAAACAATTTTTTTCGTTCTGATATTACATATAACTTAAATCTTTAGACGTAACTTTCTATTAAGTATTTCTTTATTTTTACATATCTTTTAAATATTTGATGGTATTGATGAGTAATTTATACTTTTTAAGGGACTATTTTAGACATATATTAAAATCATGGGAACAATTTGATGAAAGAAAAAAATATATATCAAGAGTCCATTCTAGTATACAAAGAGTCCAAGGTAAAATTTCTTCACTTCGATCAACAAGAGTAACGCTCTGTGAACATTTGATCAAGGTTTGAATTCTTTAATTACGCGATTATCAATTATCCATACAATGTATTGATTATATCATGAGTGTTTGTTGTAGCTTTATGATTGATTGCTTCTATCTTATTATGTGATTTTGGGATTAGGGTTTTGTAATTTGCAATCTTTTTACTGATTTCGTTTTCTGTTTAGTCATTCTTTGCAATGTAATTTGTGGGCTGATGATTGAAAGGGAGTTAATTTTTGGATATTTTCCGACCCATCTTGTTTTCTTGAAGAATAAAGTTATTTTTATGCTCAAATAATTGTTTCACTGAGTTTGGTCAACAAAATCCTTTCAAAGAATGTCCTTAAGAAAAAATCATTGTTTTGGAAACTTATAGTCATTATATAAACGAAAAGCATCAAACTTTAGTAGTTAATCGACATTCGTGTCTGTGTTATGCCCTGTATTTTGTTTATGCTGATTATCTTGACATGAAGACTAATGAAGTTAGTTGACTTGAGTATTTTTGTTTGATTATTTATTATTTAGTTATCAAATCTAGGACAAGGGTATTATTCATATTTAGTCCAGATTTGAAGCTAGGTTCACATTGATTCTTTTGACATGGAATATAGCAAGTGATTAGCAGTCACAAATAACATTCACATGATGACCAACTAGTGGTCCAATTGAATTATGGTTTTAGAGACACTAAAGTCATCAACAAGCTGTCAAATTCACTTTTGTACTAATCTTAGCACATGTCGTTAACAGAGTTGTTACCAGAAAACCGTTGCTTCTGTAGTATGACATCTTATTCTGTAAGTATCTGCATATGAATAGAAAAGAGTTATAATGTAGGGTCTGTCACAGGTAAAACTAAATGAGATAAAACACGTAAACCAGTGGATGTATCTAGAGAAAGAATATGTTGAAGATTCTTTGTGGGGTGATTTCATTTGTTAAATGGAAGTATGAAACTATTAGTTCCGAACTCCTAAAGTGTTTGTTTCAATATGATGCATTCTAACTTTTAGACCGGTGTTGTTGTTTGACAGTGGAACAACTTTTGGTTGCAATAATGGATCGTGGAAAAAGGCCAGACAGATCTCTTACTGCGCTGAATAGTAAGATGTATATGGATCTTAAGGACATCATCAGGGAACATTCCCTTTCATTTCTTCCTGCCAAATCACTTTTCAAATTCAACGCTGTTTGTAGGGACTGGAAACTCCAGATTTCGAGTCCATTTTTTGCCCATAATCAGTCACTTTTTTGTCGCAGTACTTCAGGCTTCTTTATCCATTCACTTGATGGTTCTCCTTCTCTCATACCCATTGACCCAAGCTTTTGTGGGGTGCCAGATCCATTACTTAAGTTTTTGCCCGAGCCTGTTGACATTAGGTCCTCCTCAAATGGACTGCTTTGCTGCCAAGGTCGTGCAGAGGACAAGGCCTACTACATATGTAATCCTGTTACTCAGCAGTGGAAGAAACTTCCAAAATCAAATGTGAATCATGGACCAGATCCAGCAATTGTGCTCATATTCGAACCATCATTGCTCAACTTTGTAGCTGAGTACAAAATTATATGCGCTTTTCGATCCACAGATTTTGGTGATGCAGTTGAGTTTGATATCTATTCCTCCAAAGGGAATTCTTGGGAAGTTGCTGGGGAGATCCATTTTGGAGCTAGAGCAACACGTATGCCAAATCCAAAATCAGGGGTTCATGTGAATGGTGTTGTTTACTGGATGACAATTTCAGGTAGTATTCTTGCTTTTGATCTAACAAAGGAGAGGTCACAGCTCCTTCAAAATCATGATTCTCGTGGGATTTTGGGGGAGTTTAGCGGAAAGCTCTGTAAGATGAACGTCTTTGGTAATTCAATCAGTTTAAGCATTTTGGATAATGTCCACTCAAATACAATGCAAATGGGAAGCCAAACCAAAATGTGGGCAGGAAAACAGCAGGTTGTTCTTGACAGTAATATTGTTGGGAATGTAGCGGGGGACTACTCAGTTTTACACGTCGACAGTAATATGTTGGTGGTTCGGAGCCAGGGAAAAGCCTTTTGGTATGATTTCAAGTCTCGTGCAACAAAATGCATTCCGGGTGAATTTCATAATTCGAGATGCTTTCCCTACGTCAACAGCTTAGTCTCCCTCTAGTCTGCCTTGGCTGCAGTTGAAAGATCTTTGTTTCGAGCTGCAACATCCTTGCTTGGAATTTCTTTCAAGAATAATCATAGTTTGTCTATTTTATATTTCATGTTATTATTATTCATTACTTTATCTGTGATGATTATTTCAAGTGACAGCGTAGGATTAATTATGCTATATATAATAGCAGTGGATATATTAAATATTCGTAAATGAAGTTTATTTCATAATCCTTTCAAGCTTTTTCCTACTATATATAAAGTTAAAGTAGAGGATCATACCACAATTTCCATTCATTGTATATGGTTGCTTTTATATTTTTATTATTTTTGTGTTTTCAGCAAAATCAAATTCAATCCGCCCAATCTGTTTAAAATAATCCACTCATTCATTAGCTCAATCATATTAATAACACCGTGTTAGGCTCCTTTGTGGGGTTGGATTAATTTGGATTTGCGTCCTAAAGTCCCGCTTTAGAATAAAATGCTTCCAACCAAAAATAACTTCATAATTACTTCTTTTAATAGAAAGAATTGATTTTTCTCCATATAGTTTTTATACCATGGTTAATGTTTTAACCTTCCCCCATTATTTCATATTTTAGTTAAGATCCCAATGCATTATATGAGTAACGAGAGTTTTCGAGTTGAAGCTGAAGCACGTCTCCGTCGACGTGGCTACGTATTTTTTTTAAAAGAAATTTAAAAATTATTTCTTTTGTTCTACTTTAATTTAATTGATATACAATTTTTTTTTAAATTATGAGATTCGTTTTAGCTATGACATTAGTTTTAAATTCATATTCTTTAGTTATAACTTTATTATTTTGAATGTCAATAATATTTATGTATATTTTGTAACTACTTCAAATAAAAACTCAACGATCGATAACGAAAAATACTTTAATAATAGACATCTTAATGGACCTCTTCATATTAGATTTCACACAAAAATAAAGATGATCTACTTCCACACAAACATAGTGTAATTTATTTTAAAGTAAGAATTTAAAATCATTTAATCAATAATTCAATACCGTTTAATAATTATCAAATATTTATTTTACATTTAGTGAAAAAATCATTTAATTAATAACATTTAAAAATAAATTTATGAATAAATATTGGACCCTAACTAGTATATTTATTACATATAAAATAGGAGAGATAAAAAGGAAGTTATATCCTAGAGGGATTCTCTTTCCATGAATGAATATCCTAAAAAAATAAAATATAACGATAAAATAAAAATATAAATAAAAAATTGGTTTCTTTCAGTTACTTGGAATGGAAGTTACAAGAGAAGGAAGATCTCCTTGTTAAATAAATCAACTAATTCCTTATATATGGGCGAAGAAACTAAACAAACACTCTCTGTTTTATTAAAACTAAAACTCTTTATTCTTGGTTTTCCAGCTATTGTGAGTATTATGGTTATGTATTACAATTGATTCAATTTCATTGCCTTTTGATTTTTTCTTTGTTTCAAAATCTGTTAGTATAGTGAAATTTCTTGATTCTAATTTCTAGTTGTAAGTATGCTTTGAGGGTGTTTATACTTACAATTTTACATTGTCGTGCTTTTAGATAAATGAAATCTTGGAAGGATGACGACATGACTGATAGCTCTGATGAATCGAATCATGACATGGTTGATAGCTCTGATGAATATGAATGGGAGGATGATGGGATTTTCAAGGTATTGTTTTCTTCCTCGAAAGCACACACAGCCTAAAGAAGAGTAGATACAATTTTTTCATGAGTCTTATTACTATACCTGTTTTGTCTTGTATAGGACGACGTTAAGACTGTTGCTTTTAAGCCAGAATGGAATGAAGAATCTGAAATACCTGCAGATTACATTAGGAGAGAATACATGGAGATCAAAGACATGGCAAAGAAATATGTAGCGCCTTTCCTTCCAGCTAAATCATTAATGAAGTTTCGGGCAGTGTCCAAAGAATGGAATCATTGGATTGTTAGTCCATTATTATCATACCAACAAAGTACTTCATTCTATAAACTTTCAGGCTATTTTTATCAAACAGTGGATGTTGATTTTCAATCTAATCCTGATTTTTTGTCTCTGGACCGTTCTGCAAATGGAGTCCCCAGTCCTTCCCTTGGTTTCTTGCCTGAAAGGGTCAAAGTTCTAAGTTCTAGCAGCGGGTTGCTCCTTTGTCAGGGACGGGAGAATTATTATGTTTGTAATCCTGTAACCAAAGTTTGGAAACTCATCCCTTGTCATCAATATTATCATGGATTTGATCCATCTGTTGTTCTTGCATTTGATCCTCGGGATAATATTGAATCATATTATCACATTGTTGCTGCAGTCCCTCTTCTTGGTCAGCCAGTTGTCTTCTTTGAGATTTACTCGTCTCAATCAAATTCTTGGAAGCGCTCGCGCTCTTCTTCAGAATGTCTTGAGTTAGAAGGTACAATTCTTATTGGTGGGGGATTTTACATGAAGGGGATGGCTTACTGGAATACAACATCAAATGAGGTGCTAGCATTCGATGTGAAAAATGAGATAGCAGCAGTTCTACATGTGCCTATTCCACCTGGGAGATATGGTGCCTTGACTCAGATAGAAGATGAGCTATGCTATGTAACTGCTTATAATGACGGTGGGGATGTTTTTGTATTAGATATCTATGGAGGAATGTACATGAGCCTGAAAAACAGTGTAAGCATAAATCTTGGACACAAGAAGTCTCGTCGAGCATTTGAGGAAATTCCCTTTATTGAGAACAGTACTGTGTCGTGTAGCGTGCTACCTTGTTTTAACAACGCTGATGACATTGTGGTGATCTACACGAATGAAAGGATATATCTTTATCACTTGAGGGAGCAGAAGGTCAAGGCTCTCAGGACTCCACGACAATTAAATCCTCAGAGAAGATTCATACCTTATATAAACAGCCTCGTTATGTTACATGAACTGAACAATTAGTGCCTTGATGATATTTCGGTTGCTGTCAAGTAGAAAACTCTCCCCTACATCGCCGCTTCTGCTGCTTTGTTCTATGTGGAATTGAACATTTTTCATGATTTTTTGTTTGTTGGACTTGGATGACAGAATTAGTACTTTGAATTAATAGCTTAGCTTTGGTAAATAGATCATGTTTTCAATTGCCATTATTTCGTTTGGACAGTAGTTTTGAATGTTTTTTCCTTCACAAATAATAATGGTTTGGAGTTTTTAGTTATGGTTTCCTTTGATTTTCTTTCTACTACTGTTTCAAATAAACAAGGCAATTCCCATCATCTACCTGGATGCAGAGGGCCCTGGTTAGCTCTGTAGTAGCAAATTTGGGATGCTATGTGTGACACAAACGTCGACAATTGTGTTGTTGTAATTTTCAACTATGGATAATTTCAGATTAGACAATTTTATACTTATTAGCAGTAGCCCTCCCTAACAAAAACAACTTCGTTTCCAAGGCCTCTATAAAAAATTACTTGTCCACGCTATAAAAAATATTTGTCACAAATTATTTGTTAATTGGCCCAGTGATTTGGGCTTGGGACATCCATGTTGGAGGTCTCAAGTTCTAAATCTCTTGCCAGTGAAAGCAAGGTGTTTGCCTTCTGAGTCGAGATCGTCACACTGGACTTGCCTAGTGTAGGTTACCTCTCCTATGTGGTTAGCGAGCTGTTGCATAGAAGTGGGGATTTCACCCTAAGGGTAGCGACGGGTTTGGGCGACGGATCAATAGTCAACTCAAGGTGGGTGAGATATTCTTTATTTTAGATAGTGAAATCATTCCATTACTACCAACCCAAAGAAATATGACCTCTTTGAGATATACGATTTATGCCTTAGTGAAAGGACTTGGCTTTGCATCTGAATATGACATCTTTGAGATATACGATTTATGCCTTAGTGAAAGGACTTGGCTTTGCATCTGAAGGAGATTCCCCAGTTGGGTACAGTGCAAAGCCGAAAATAAAATAAAATAGAATTATATCATTTAAAAAAAAAAAAGGTTTACAAGCTATATTCTCAACAGTTTGTGGTGCACTATACTCTTTACATAAGCAGTTTTTTCTTTAAACCCTTTTTTAGTATCTTCTTCGCATTCTATATTCTCTCTTTTGGGGGTTCAGTTGGAAACACAGAAAGCCAAATTAGTCAGAGATTTTTCACTCTCCGCTATGGCTATCGATGGAGAACAGTCGCACCAATCTCACAGATCACGTCAATCTGGTCCTACCGCCAAGAAAAAATGCAAGTCCAATGAGAGAAAGAAGGGCTTTTCCCACGAAAACAATAAGCAACATAATCCCAAGGTACTCATATTCTTTAATTTTTCTTTAAATTCTGTATATCATTATGTGCTTGGGTTGTCAACTGTTTTACGCTATTCCTGACAATTTTTTAGGCAATAATATGTGTGATGTAACCGCTTATGTAGATAGTAATTTTAAAGTTTTAGTATTCCTAATCGAATAGTTATTTCTTGAGACTTATTGGCATTTGCAGTTAATTCCACTGTGAAAGAAAAGAAGTCGCTCAAGTGAGTTTGCTGGTTATTAAGGCTCGACTGGAGTTAGGTTGAGGCCGTCTCGTGGGGCAATCAGGATGAACCTTTATTGGTGGAGGAAGGGATAGTGATGGATTCCTATAAAGCATCCAGGAAAAGCTAGCTCCTACTCTTCCTCCTTCTCCTAAAGGCTATTTAATTTAAATTAGAAATTTAACAGAAGATTGTAAAACAAAGAGACTAAAAACTAGGAATAATGATTATTGAATAAGTTTTAGTATCTCACACAATACTTTACTCATTTTTCTTTAAATCCTAATCACCAAGTATAGAAGTTGCATTCATGATTATGATTTAATGTAAACTCTAAACTTAAAAAGAAAATTGTGAAAGAGAGTAGAAGCTAGGAATAGTGATTACCAAATAAGTCTTGGTATCATACACAATACTGAACTCATTTCGCGTTAAATCTCCAATACTAAAATTCCTAATCACCAACTATAAAAGTTGTATCTATCGTGCTAAAAATCTGATGTACATTTTTATTCAAATTCAAAGTGGTAATATTTTAAAGTGAATTTAAAGATTATTAGTTTTTGTAGTTGTTTGATAATGTTCAACTAATTAAACTTCATGTAAATGCAAAAGAAGATAATCTCAGATCAAAAAGAAAGGGGGATACGGAGAAATTGGTAGATGCTACAAACTTAATTGGATTGAGCCTTGGTATAGAAACTTACTAAGTGATCACTTTCAAATTCAGAGAAACCGTGAAATTAACAAAAATGAGCAATCCTGAGCCATATTGTCTCCTGCTTCGACTGATAAATCCAACCAAAATTACCACATCATCAATTCAAAAGAGAGATGAGTTTGGATATAATGCGGATTCAGGCAAATTTACCTCTTACAAACTTGATGAAGAAGGGGGTATAGGATGTTAATCAAAACAACTTTGTGAATTGATTCAAATGTGCTTAGTAGTGATGTGTTAGTGTTGAATATGTACTTTCATATAATTATATGTTAGAAATGTTAACAAATTGACATACATTTAAGTTCGGATTTAGTTTGAAAACAATGAAGGATTAGTCCATCCCTACCTGTGACACGCTTTTAAGGTTGGGCTGGGATGGTCATTTTAAGGCTTTTTAACATGAAGGGATGGCCCGCCCTAACCCATCAAATTCCTTGGTCCGCATAGCTTAAGCTGAATTAGATTGAACTGACCTATTTTGACAGCCCTATTCGGAATGAAAATGACTAGAAATTTGACTTGAGATTGTGTAAGGCAATGAAATGTCGAAATTCTCCTCCTTTTATCAACTTTGTTTCCTTATAAATATATAGACATAGAAGTAAACAATATTTCCTTTATACAAACTAAACTCTTTGCTAAATTTCTGCAATCTTTAACTCTCTCCACTCTCTTCTCCACACACGGTTCTCGTCACCGCTAGGGTTTCAAGCCGCTTTTCCCCCCTTCTTCTTTGTTTACGGCAACTCAACCCCCGGGCATTGTGAGTTCTTTCCTTAATTCTTCTAATGTTAATTTATTACCAGTATTCATTAAAAACTCTAAATTTCTTTTTACGATTATCCATTATATATGTCAACTAAAGTGATTTATTCTTAATTTGTTCCATTTGATAGTCATTTGTTTCAATTGTTGGAATGTGTTTTGATTCCTTGTATTATGCTTATGTGGGACTAGTTGTATATAAATATTTCACGTTTCAATTGACCAAGAATTATATATATGAACTGTCGGATTTTACTCAGATTTTATGATATGATCTGTGTGAATGACTTATTTAATTGCCTTTTGACTCTTTGTTTCAAAATTCCTTCTTTATGGAAGATTTACTTTTCTAAATCTATGGTTGCTTGATTTTCAGTATTGTGAAATTTCTTGATTGTTGATATTTTGATTTCTTCGAAGCACATTTACCAAGGAGATGAACTGTTAAATGGTGATTGGGAGATTTACATTTCAAAATCTATGATTTTAAGTATAGTGAAATGTCTTTTCTTCTTTTGATACTGATGATTAGTGATCTATGAAGTAGAGTCTAGAGTGTACCTCATCTACTCCTTCTCTGAGATCCTAATTTCTCGCATACTAAAACACTTTGTTAGAGTGGATTAGGCTGTCTTTCTTTTGATTGTTAATAAGTATACTTTGAGGGAGTTTATGCTTTAAATTTTCCATTGTCACTAACACCGTGTTTTTTGTGCAGAAAAAATTAAATGGAATCGTTGAAGGACAACATGATGACTATTAGCTCTGATGAGTTTGAGAATAATATCATGGCTGATGCTGAGGAATTTTCTCCAGCTATGCAACAACAGGACTGTGGGACTCACAAGGTATGGTTTTCTTCCTCTCCTATTTTTGAGTATTTTTATTCGTTTTATATGAATAACAATATTGAAACTTATTTAATTCAGTACAACAACAACATACCCAGTGGAATCCCACAATTGGGATTTGGGGAAGGTAGGATCTACGCAGACCTTACCCCCTCTCCCCCCTCCCCCCCTACCTTTATTGGATAGAGAGTTTGTTTCCGATAACCTTTTTATCATAGAAGAATGGTCGTTTTTTCTTCTGATCAATAGTTCTGCAATAGTGAAACATATCCAAGGTTACACAACCAACAATTACTTGGATGGATGAAAATTACTATTCATTTTGCTTCATTTGAACTCATCTTATTCCAAAACCATTTTTTTTATTTTCACAATGTAATTATATGGGCAATCTGGACTCTCCTATTTTTTTGAGAAGCTGCTTCTTTAGATCTTGCACTTTCTGATACTACTACTCTCTTGTTTGTCTTTCTGTTATTTTCCTTATTTTTTTGAGAAATGTTGATGAACACACTATTTAAATGAGCCTTTGTTAGTGAACTTGTTGAAAGGGCCCAACCTAAATAGAGAGGAGTAGAAATAAATGTTTCATGGGAGTGACACCAACTAATATGAGTTTGAGCTGTTATTGATATGTATATATCTCTTTCATCTGATTACAATACCTCTTTTGTCTTGGATTGCAGGTTCCAGAGGACGACTTCAAGGCTGTTGCTTATAAGCAGGAATGGAATGAAGTATCAAAATTACCTGCAGACTACATTAGGAGAGAAGACATGGAGATCAAAGATGTGGCTATGAAACATGTATTGCCTTTCCTTCCTGGTAAATCATTGATGAAGTTTCGGGCAGTGTCCAATGAATGGAATCATTGGATAGTTTGTCCGTTATTAGCATTCCAGCAAAGCACTTCATTCCAGAAACTTTCAGGCTACTTTTATCAAGTTGTGGATGTGGATTTCCAATCTGATCCTAATTTCTTGTCTCTGGACCATTCTGCGAATGGTATCCCCAATCCTTCCCTGGGTTTCTTGCCTGAAAGGATTAAAGTTCTCAGTTCTAGCAGCGGGTTGCTCCTTTGCCAGGGGTTGGA